AGCGCATCTCGCTACTCTAGTATCAAACGCATCTCGCTACTCTAGTACGCTACTCTAGTAACAAACGCATCTCGCTACTCTAGTAACAAGCGCATCTCGCTATCTGGCTACTAGCAGCAAGTGCAACTGGCTGGCTATTAGTAGCCAGTGCATCTCGCTACTAGTAGCCAGTCCATCTCGCTACTAGTAGCAAATGCATCACGCTACTAGTAGCCAGTGCATCTCGCTACTAGTAGTAGCAAGTGCATCGGTACTAGTAACAAGTGCATCGCTACTTACTACCCGTATTAAGTGCATCGCTACTTACTACTAGTAACAAGGGCACATCGCTACTAGTAGCAAGGGCATCGCTACTAGTAACAATAGCATCGCTACTAGTAACAAGTGCATCGCTACTAGTAGCAAGTGCATCGCTACTAGTAACAGGTGCATCACTGCTAGTAACAAGGGCATCGCTACTAGTAGCAAGGGCATCGCTACTAGTAACAAGTGCATCGCTACTATAGTAACAAGTGCATCTCGCTACTAGTAGCAAGTGCATCTCGCTACTAGTAGCAAGTGCGCATCGCTACTAGTAACAAGGGCATCGTTACTAGTAACAAGGGCATCGCTACTAGTAACAAGTGCATCGCTACTAGTGACAAGGGCAACCCTACTAGTAGCGGGGCATCGCTACTAGTAGTAGGTGCATGGCTACTAGTGTAGAACAAGGGCATCGCTACTAGTAACAAGGGCATCGCTAATAGTAGCAAGTGCATCGCTACTAGTAGTAAGTGCATGCATGCTACTAGTAACAAGGGCATCACTACTAGTAGCAAGTGCATCGCTACTAGTAGTGAGTGCATCGCTACCAGTAACAAGTGCATCGCTACTAGTAGTAAGTGCATCGCCACTAGTAGCAAGGGCATCGCTACTAGTAGTAAGTGCATCGCTACCAGTAACAAGGGCATCGCTATTAGTAACAAGGGCATCACTACTAGTAACAAGGGCATCGCTACTAGTAGCAAGGCCATCGCTACTAGTAGTAAGTGCATCGGTACTGGTAACAAGGGCATCG